ATTGTACAATGTTTTTGAGTTGCCTTTCAAAGATATCGAGCAGCTGTAGGCATTCTCTATGCCATTTTTCCAATGACATGTTACTAAAACAGAAATTGGGAAATATTTGGTTTTGGACTTTTATCAGTTTTTTCTGCGTTGTTAGTGAATCAAATTGTAAATCTGTCTTAATTGGTGGCATGTTTGCTGCAAAAAGGTTTGTACATTCATGTATGCAAAATAATATGCTCTCTTTTTTAGTTTTGAATTTTCAGTTCTCAAAAAATAAACAAATTCAATTGTAACAAAAACAAATAAGAAAATTATAAACTTCTCAGAATTGGTTTGATTAAATATTGGATTTTTAAAATTAAACTTTTCCTCAATACTTTCTGGTTTTCTATTCGATGACAGATTCCTTCGCCATAGCACATAAAATTTTTAATTAGAAAAGTTTTCTACTTAATTTATAAATTTTTATTTATTGCAAGTTTAAAATGTATCTCGTTTATTTTAAACAATTTTTTAAAATAAAAAAATGTATTTTTAATCAAAAAAACTTCAGCTCGGGCACAGTAAATACAGATGACTAACTCAGTAACTCAATAACTAACTTATGTATCATAATTACAATATAATTCATGTATGTTATATATCGTTTAAATAATTCGAAAAACTTTATTCCAATATATTCATTTGAGTTGAACATGCTGAACATACAAACTTAATTAAGAAAGTTTTTGATTAAAATCATTTTATCTTGCGGTGCTGATACCACAGATACTTTATTCGATAAAACACTCTAATAATTTACCAGAGAAACCAATATATTAATGATATTTAAAAGAGCATTCACAAATTATTACATATCTATACATACAAAATTTTTTACGATTATTGATGCTGTATTTAGATAATCTTTATTGACATTTGTGTATTTGCGTATTGTGGAATTGCATTTCCTTGCCAAAAAAGGATATGGAAAATATGTGCAAAAATATTTTACTTTCCCAGAAAATAAGAAAAAAATTTAAAAGCTTGTTGTATATATATTGTTGTTATTTTAATACAAAATGATGTTATTTTATCTTGTTTTCTTAAATATCTCAGCGTTTGGATTGAGGAGATACTTTGTTTATTTGTCGTTTATACGTAATGCTGCTTATGCAAAAGTCTTTAGTTAATCCGGCCACAGTGCTTTAATTTGAATTTTGTGAAAAACTTTTCAATTTATTTCAACAAAATTTTAAAATGAAAAATAAACTTTTTAAGTAAGAAAATTTTTGAAATTGGGTTAACTAATTATAAATTGTTTACCAAATCTTTTTTCAATTTGCGGGTTAAGTGCCATCAAAAATGCTTTAATGAGGCTTTTCACTTAAGTGTCACTCAAGTAAATTTGTTATGATTCGTTTTTCTAAATTTTGATTTAATGAAAATTTTAGTTAAATTATTTACGCAGGGAAAAGAAATACTTTAGATAATTTCATTTATACCATTCATAAATTGCACTTAAGTGGTCAAATGATAGCAAATATGTACTTCATATCTAAAAGGTATTTAAAGCGACTGGCAGAAATATCCTATAAATAAAAAAATTCACATTTAAAAATTTTCGTTCCATATTTCATATTGGGGGAATATCGGTGAAATATATTATTATTAATAAGTCCTGTTAAAGATTGTAATTTCAGGTTATTTTAGAGTTTAATTAGGAATATTAATGAAGCGGTTATATCTTTTACTACCTAAGAAAATTTATTAATATAATTATTGTGATTAATGAAATTGTTAAAATAACATATTTAAAAAGTAAGGATTAAATAAATTATAGAATATCTAAATCAATGGTAAACAGAAGCTATGATTTTTTGAAAAGATTAATTAAGAATTATTATGTTGATTTATATACTTGAATCTTTTTGTATATTTAAAGAGTTGAAGTTATAATATCGTTGCAGTATAATAAATAAGATATATATAAATATAGGTTTTATATACAGGTTTGATAAATTATCTCTAATGAAGAAAGAAAATCTTTTATCAGTAAGTATCACAACATTTATTAGAGTTTTAAAGATATACCATATATATGATACTTCGCAGAGGTACTATATATTTTATGTTTTCAAGCAGATGAAGACAAGGATTAAGTTATATCATAGTTTGAACTGTCTTAATGTTATTTAATATAAATACTTTTTACAATGTATTGTAACATGTATAAATATATATTTCAATTTTTGGTGTGATCCAAATGGGCGACTAGTTCCAACAGCTTACTGATGTTGTGAAATTGGTGTATAGATCGATTGTTTAATATTTCATTAGCTACTTTGTTACTTATTTAGGTTGGAAACTTTAATTTGGTCTTCTACTGTAATATAAACATGATTAAAAGTTTATGAAACCTATTCATGTAAAAAGAATACGTTTTGTTACATAGTCCAGAGGGAAGATGTGTTTTTAAATCGCGTTATACTAATTTCTAATAGTGGTATGCAATATCGGAACTTATAATTAGAATTTCATTTACAATAAAAGCAGCAAAGGTATCATATTATCATTTACGAATTATTATAATAATAATAGAATATTATTTCCTGATTGATCTGGACAAAATACCGAATATGGACATATCAGATCTCAGTAACTTTATTTGAAAATCCAATATTTCAATAAGGATAGTACATGAAATTCTAATAAAAACACTGGGTAGAAGCGCTTGCCTCTTTCTGGCAACTCTAAGGAATCGCAATGATTATCACAATGATGTTTATAATAATACAATTTCTGAGCTTTAAATTTTAATATGAGAATCCGAATAAAAACAATTTACACCTACATGTGATAGGCATACAGTTTTAAAGTGTTTAATTTAAATTTTAGTATTTTTTTGGAAATTCCTGAATGCATATTTATTTACACATACACTGGTACCCACAATTTTTGACACTTACCGATAATCCTGTTTAAGCACGTATTGATATCGGCTACTATTTTCGTCTGTGCCATGTCCGATTTCAGTTGCCTTTTGCACACTCTTCGCATACCATTTATTCAAAAGGGAGGACTCATTGTCTGTTATGTTTGTGTCCCCCAATATGCGTGTATAAATATCTTCATCAACGTGAGTGGGCAATGGCATTCGACCAATGCTGTGTCCAATAAGTGCCTAAAAAGCGGATATTAAAATGAAGAAGAAGAAAAGAAGAAGTCGTTTGTATAAACAATAGAACGTGTTGGCACGCCAGCAAGAGCAAACATTTTGAATGCTCTAAATGGCATAATATCAGTCAATACAGTATCAAGTGTGACAATATTACAGCAATGTTGTGAATATTGATATGTGATTTTCATGAACAAATATCCTAGATTTGTGAATTTTTATACTTACAATGAAGAAAACACTTTTTGAATTATTATAGCAGGTTTCTATTTCATGCAAATAGTCCCGCATGATGTACGGATCTTGCTCTATTTGAGTTATTTTTGTTGGTCCTGTTCCAAAATGCATGTCAACTATTTCAATCTAATATAATAAGTGTATTTTAGCATTTTATTTGCTCGTGAATGTTTGTTACATTAAATCTACCTCAATTTGCCTGTCATCATATAGTGACTGCAATTCAGGACCCACCAATTCCAATAACATACGTCGTTCCTGGCAGAATTCTTGAATAAGGCAAAAGAAGTTAATTTATAGTCTTTGCTTATGAATTATTTAAGGAATTTTATTGAAAATATTATTACTTCTTTTAAAGAAATATAATATTAGAACTTTTAATAAAAATATTTTATATCTTACCCTCTTTCAAACTGGATATATACACCTTAATAAGTAAGGGTTTCGGCAAGCGTGTGTTTCTGTTGTCCATGCCTCTAAGGGCGTTCAGAACGCCCTCATCAATGGGCACCGCCATTGTTTTTAATGTTTTATTATTGAATGGTACGCTTGAACAGTTTTAATATCTTTTTTATTGAAAAAATCCAATGAAATAAATATAATGAAATTGCTTTTTTCAGTTTTCAGTTGAAGATATGCTTCAATATTATTTCACTTTCTTCTCTATTGTTATTATTATTGTTATTTTCGGTGCTCTTTTTATTGGAAACGTTAGTTTTTTATAAGAACGCCATTTGTCCTTTAAACTTTAAGTGTGGCGCATAATTTCAACTTTTCATGTTATGAAAACTGCGTCCAAAAGCATTTTGGCCAAGTTTTCGCTCCTCTCCCTGCTGCAGTCCTCTTCGGTTTAGTTTATATTCGAAATTTTCAGTCTGAAAGTATGAGCAAAATCGAAAAGAAAATGTATAAATATTTACTGTCATTGACCATAAAAGTTGCTTTTAAAGGATAAAAGAAAGTAAAAAGTTTGCAAATTTATGTAAAAAGGGATTTAAACTTTTTGTTTTAGTTTTGATTTTGGCTACGACTTCATTGCATATTTTATTGAGCATAAAATGTCCTTTTTTTGTTTGTGGAGTTTATTTTGCGGTAGACCCGTACGCGGTTAGTATGAAAAGCTAATGCTCTGCACAAAAACAGGATTTGTTTTTAAGTAACAATTTACAATGCAACATTTGCCTTAGATTGTTGACTTTCATTCAAGTTGTGTACGTTGAAGATTTTAGCCTTTTCTTTCCAATGGAAGCTGTGTCCACAAGATAAGATTTGTTTTGTTTAATAAAGTCAAAATTAAAATGCTTTCACCTAAAAATTTTGTTATTCTGTTAAATCTTTTTCTGCATGTATACTATAAATTTACCTATAATTTAAAAATTAATTTGAAGTATAAATAAATAAGGAATAAATAAAGGAATAAATATAAGGAATCAGAGTTGATAAATAGAGTAAATCTTATCAGAGTTTCTGATAAACTTGATAAGATATACTGACAATGTAGTGGAAAATAAGTTTGCAGATAACTGAATAAATTGTTTCAAAGAAAGCTAACTTCTCTTATATTATTCTTGTTTCTCAGTGGAGCCTAGGATCTCAAGGATGGCTTTCTGTTGATTCCAGTCTTGCAATTTTTGTAAGAAAGGGATTTCTGTGTTTCTTCCACTTATGCATCAGTGCCGGGCACTCCCCAAGAACATGTTATGCAGTTTCTCTCGCTCTTCTCTACAGTATCTGCAGGCTGAGTTGGATTGAATTCCTAACTTATATATCATTAATCATATATTAAAGAGAGCATCGTGAAATATTGTATGTATATATTATATTAAATAGGATGTGATTGTTATTTTATAAACTATACATTTGTTAAATATAGGCTTATGGCAATAAGTAGAAGACTGTTAATAATCAATAAAATTGTTGTATATCTAGTTGTAAGTGCT